CTTATAAGGGTCATCATGAGTTAGTCCATGGAATGATGGGAGCATTTGTATGGTGCTGGACTTAATTTCATAATGAGCAGCTGTAGTGTTGGGTAATTGGATGCATGATGGTGATGTATATGCAGTGGGTGTAAAATAATCCTTAAGTGTCCGGTTGGGCACATTCGGGACATTAGGATCTGCCATCTCTAATGGCTCAATGTATGAATATGAATACTTAAGCCTAGGAACACGGGCAGAAGCCCTAAGCCTCCTAAGAGTCCTTTCTAGTTCAAGGTCCAAACTCCACAATTCAGGGCGACAAGAACGACGCCCGTGCATACAGTACCCAAACACACACAACAAGTTCCAACTCTGTGCACTAAGTATGAAAGCAAAATACCAAAGGAAGAAATACTCACAGCGGTTTAACGAAAACGCTTTACTCGTGTTGCGGATGCTTGACGTGTAGACGTTGTCTCCAACCTCTGTTTAAGCTTTGACTTCCGTTTTAGCACTTTAGTGCTTTGCTTGTGAGTGTTTGCTTCTGTTTACTCACTTTAGTGCTGCGGTTTTTTTTTATTTTATTTTTGAAGCTCGGCTACGCTCCGCTTGCACTTCAGTGATAGCTCCAATTTCAAACGCTCTGTACACTTAGCAACACCAAAAGCATAAAATCTTAAACTAAAAATTAAAATAAGAATGTAACTTTAAATTAACTAATTTCGTCAGAAGTCCTCGACAACGGCGCCAAAATTTGATGGGTCGTTAAACACACCAAAATTAAATACTAAACTATACCAAATTCAATCAGAATAATGGCAAGTCCAGGTATCGATCCACAGGGACTATTGTGAAATTAAACTAATTTAATTGTCAAATAACGAATAAAAAGATTGGTTGTTTATAACCTAATTTAATAACGAATAAATTAAACTAAGGAATTAAATTATCAATAATATATGAAATTGGGTTTACTGAATTGGGGGAAAAATCTTAGGGTAGAGAATTCACCACTAACCACATAATTAGGGTTTCCAATTGAAATTAATTATGCTATGGTTTGAACGGATTAATGCTTCACAACTACAAGCTCAAAGCATTTAATAAGAAGATCATCGCATTCAATGTACGAGCACGAGCCATCTCAAGTAATATGAATCGTTCACTCTAAACTAGGGTAGTGATACGACTCGTTCCTCGTAGCATGGTTCGTCCCATACCTTGAATGTGAAGGAATAGAAAACTCATGTATGGATAATATTCAACAATCACAAAAAGTCAAATATTCGAAGAGATAATGAAAAATATAACAAAGAAACTTATAAATCACCATACAAATGTTCAAACCTTTACATAATCTAAAATCAAAAAGAAAACAAAATAATTACATGACTAGGGTTTCATCAAAACCCTAAAAAAAAAAGACTAGCCACTCATAGAGGAGTGGAAGGAGAACGATGGAGAAAGAACCACCATTGGAGACATCTTTGAAGCTTTTGTTTCCCTCATCTTTTTCAAACCCTAGCCTCTCCCTTTAGGTCAAAACAATTTCAGAACCCTAATCCAGCCTTTTACTTGCCTTTTTATACTTCAAATCTCGTCCAAACAGGTTTAAAACGTCGGTTTGACTTTTTTAGAAAAAGTCAACGCACGTGCGGAAAAGTCAACTCTGTCCAAATTCTATCTTTTTGCCCATTTTATGCTCCGACGATGTACAACCTGATTGACATTCAACACACATAAAGTATACAGTTTGACCAACAAGTGAAATTAAGAGATTCTAATTAGCGGCCTCAATGATGTACATTTCGGCCTTAATCATACTCATTTCTCTAACAGCATAAGCTTTCAATGTGATGGTAGTGAAACTTGCTTGGTTGTAGCAAACAAGGAGACTGGTTGAGGATTTTTTCTGTGTCTTTACTTACGATAGGCGGTTTAATAGAATTAGGTAGTTCTTTTGATTTGCTACATCGTGTTTTAGTTGAGAGTGAAGTGGCCTTTGATATGACAATAAATAAATGCTTTCCTAAGCTTTTATGCTTGAAATTCCTTTACTGAATACTGATTGTGAGCATATTTTCTTGCTGTAGGTGCGAACAATTTGTTTCCCATGGAAATTGCACTTAAAATTGCTGAGAAAATCAGAGCACGTAAGAGGTTTGCAGCTTATATTGTTATTCCGATGTGGCCAGAGGGCAATCCAACAGGTGCTGCTACACAAAGGATTTTATTTTGGCAGGTAGGAACCAATTATGACTTCAACGCATAGCATTGTACTTCTGTATTTTAAAGGCAGCTTTCAGAGATGGATAACTTTTTTACTTTTTTTTTCATTGGATTAATTTATTTCCAATGGGAAATCAAAAAATTCTATTAATCTGCCCATCAGTGTATATACTTCAGAAGGATCAATTTTTGATTTTGAAATTATCTCTCATTTATTGTACAGAACAAAACAATGCAAATGATATATGAGACTATTTACAAGGCTTTAGTGGAGGTTGGGCTTCAGAATGAATACACCCCACAAGACTATTTGAACTTACGTTCACATTTGGAAAGCACTGGTGTGCATTGTTTGTTGTTTTGTTTTAATTAAATTATTTTAGAATTGCAGAGCATTGGCGTGCATTGTTTGGTATCCAATTTTAATTTTTTAGAATTGTAGAATATTAGCTGGTGTGCATTGTTTGGTTAATTTTATTTTATTATAATTGTAGAACATTAGTTTACCATTTTAATTTTAATAAACATTATAAATTTTATATGTTTATTCCTTAATTTGCATTAAGACTATGGCGAGTTGTTATTTTTAATTGAATTCTGTAGAGAGTATGATACAAGCAAAATTATTAAAAGTTCTTCAAGAAAAAAAAATATTATAAACTCCACATGTTTTAACATGATACGTATATAAATTATAAATATATTTCGATCTCAATATTATTTACACTCTGCTTTTAAACACGAGCATATACTAGTCTTTAATATGAAAAAAATAACTTAATGGAAGATAAGGGGTGGGCAACTGAATGGTTGACCCGCACGACCCACCGACCATATCCAAGTGATTTGAGCGGTTCCGAGAGATAAATAAGATGAGATGCGGGTCTGTTTTTAAATATAAATTCGGGATCGGGTCAGACCCTGATCCGACCCTCACGGAACCGTCCTACCCGCAAGCCCTTACATATAAATATTTTTTCCATTGCTTTCGCTGGATCTCAGGTTCTCTCTCCATCTATCCACTTGCTTTGCTCTCTCTTCTCTCCTCTCATCTCGGCCTCTCTTTCTCATCTCGCCTCCCCGTCGCTGTCTCTCTGCTCTCCTCCATATCGCCGTCGACCCTCGTACTCTGTTCCTGCTCCGTCGTCTCTCTCGCACTCCGTCGCACTCTTTTGCCTCTCTCGCACTCCTCTGTCGACTCCTCGCACTCCATCGCCTCTCGCTCTCCATTTGCAAGGTAAGAGTTTGAAACCCTAATTTATGGTATGTTTGGTTGCTGAGAAACACTAGTTGGGCTGCTTCTATGTTTGATTGTTGACTATATTGATATGCAAGACAATGTTTATGTTTGTTTTTTTATGGCCTACATCAGAAAAGAAAAGAAAAAAAAAAAAATGGGCCTCAAAGCAAAAGTTTCCAGAACAAACGCAAACCGCACGCGGGTGATTCTATTTACACCCAAATAATCACTCAGTAGGCCAAATTAGAGGGTACGCCTAATTAGAGTTTTTAAAGTTTAGTTCGTATTATTCCCTAGTGTAAATTTAATCCACATTGAACTCTAAAATATATATATATATTTTTGTCATGATACACCCATAGGTGTTCTTTATATTCAACTTTCTTTATCTTCTTCCCAAAATTTCAATTATCTTCTCTTCATCTTTTTCCTCACTCCAAAACTCAAATTCACCCTACCAAAACTCTATCTAAGATCAGTTTAATGGTTTTCCTTTACTTGTGCGGTGAAAAATTGAGACCAATCAAAATATCTTTTAGAAGCCAAAGACAGTTTGTGGAATGCCGCAACAACTACCTTGTGATCAAAACTTGAGACTCTCTTGCCAAAAAAAAAAAAAACTTGAGACTGGGTATTGTTAGCTATTTACCATGACCAAGTCTCTTTCGATTATATTTTTGCCTCTGTGCCCTTGTTTCACTTCTTTATTTCTGCATATTCCTAGGAAGTCCCTCTTTTCTCTATTTCATTTTTTTTCACCCAGCTCAAGAAATCCCAAGTACAAGAATAAATTGAAACATCAATGGCTACAAGTCATAACATAAATGAAAATACAATAAATTACCTCTCCAGATAACTGAAAATGATCAATTAAAACAAGCATAAAAAGGGTTTTTGAAAGAGTTTTTCAAAGTGGTGTAATTTAGGGTTTGATTTATTTATTCTTTGGGCATATCTTGAGGGGTATTTTTAGAAAAAAAAGTAGGGTGTACTGAGAGCAAATTATAATCCTAAATAATTTAATAGGGTGTATTGAGAAGTTGGGTATACTTAATGATTTTTTGGGTACAAATAGAATCTCCCACCGCACGCACAACTGCCCGACCTTCACATACAATCTATAGCCCGCACCACGGGCAGATGCGGTTCCGTTTTTGCCCAACCCACACCCCATCAGACGGGTCCAACCCGCAATCCGAACCGTTTAAAATTGATCCGTGAGCACCCTTTATAGACCCAAATGGGTTAGAAGACTATCAAAAAGGATTTTTCACTAAATTCTCAAATAAAGTCATTTAAAAATTTTGGATTTTGAATTTTTAAATGATTTTATTTGAAGAATATCATCTGAAGTGAATCTCATTCTTGTGCGGACATGATTTCATTGCAGCCACTGGTTTCGCTCTTAATGAGGTGGCGCCTTCTGTAAATAAAAAATTTCCAGATGATTTTTTTTTTTTTTGAATGAAGTTCGAGATGATCTTCATTTGGTCATTTTTGGTTTGTTTTTTCACATTTTGTTTTTTTTAAAAAATTAAAATTAATTTGATAAAAAGAAAAAAAAAACTTATTATTTTTATATAATTTTATCCTAGATAGAAATAAATTTTAAAAATTTTAAAATATATTATGGAAAATTTATTAGAAAATGATTTTTTAAATACTTGTATCTAATTAGTTCATAACATATTATTGTATTTGATCCACCAAATCTTAATTCTAAAAATTAAAAATTAATGTATAGAGGTATTTTAGTAACTATATCACTCATAGGACTTATTAGAATATAAAAAAATAATTTAAATTAAGTGAAACATAAGTAAGACTTATTGAAATATAAAAAAATAATTTAAACTAAATGAAACGTGAATAGGTGAAGGAGATTTACAAATAAATATCATTTTTTTGGTTATCAAACTAGGTCTTTTTTTTTTTTTTTTTCAAACACAAACCAAACATGGTCTCCAGCCTCCAGGGAGGACTCGAATCCCAGAAGTAGTGCTCTTAAATCCAACCAATGCTCGATGTGGTTTTCAGTAACTGGCGGTGGTTTACGAATTCTGCGCTACTGCCTTCTTTCTCTTCCACCTGTCCGCTTTCGTGCTCTAGCTATCATGGACAGCACCATCAGCAACAGGACCTCTTCTTTCTCCGCTTTCGCTCATTCCGGCAGAAGGTACGTTCCTTTCCCGTTGGCTGCTGAGAAACCAAAAGAAAATTACAACAAATCCCCAAATTCGAACCTATTGCCTTTTTCTTTTCTTTTTTGGATGCAATTGATGATATAATTTGCGGTACTGTGTTCGTTTATGTTTGTGGCAGTGGGGGTAGAGGAAGGGGCTTCGAGTTGAAAGACAATCGTGAGAGGTCAGGAGGCCGTGGCGGTGGAAGCAGCGGTGGTGGTTCTGGCAAGGACAAAATTGACGCTCTTGGAAGGCTCATGTATGTGCAAATTGCTTCTTCTTTGAATTTTGACCTTGCTTAATTGCTAAATTCTTTGTGTTCAATCTTGTTTCAAATTGAATTATGTGTTTTTGGTGGTTAATACCATTTGAATGAATTTTGTATGTTCCTAATTTTCAAAGTGATCAAACAAAGTTCAATTTATGGCCATTGAAATGGAAAAAAAAGAAACAGAGAACTCAAATCAAAATGAAAGCGAATTTTGAAAGTGGGAAAGTAGGAATCTGGGAAAGCTACTAAATGGGTCCTGATATTTGATTCTACTAAGGTATCCATTTTTGAAGCTAAGTGCTTATGGTTGAGTATGGGTAATGAAATACATAATTCACATAACGTAAATTGGTTGAACTTGGAAAAATTTTACTTACTGATTTTTTTTGTTGTGCCTAAAAAAAAGGGGGTGGAAAAAGGTCTCACCTGAGCCAAAATGCGTGAATCTTGGTTGAGTGTAGTTTTTTTTCTTCTTTCTTTTCTAATGGGTTTAGAATATTGTATGGTTATGTTTGTTTATATAACTCATTTGAATTCAGCAATAATCACACTTTAATTTTTCATCTGTGATATTTATAGGACACGGATTTTGCGACATATGGCTTCTGAGTTGAACTTGAATATGAGAAGTGATGGGTATGTCAGGGTTCAAGATCTTCTGAAGCTGAATTTGAAAACTTTTGCTAACATTCCACTAAGAGCTCACACAGTTGATGATATTAGGGAGGTCAGTCTGCAAATCCCTCATTCCTTTATCGTAGCTTTAAGATATTATGTTATATATAATATACATAAGTCAAATGGGCTCTGAACTGTTATTTCTTCTTCTTCTTCTTCAAAATTCACTTGATCTTGTTTGTAAATTACCTCACATATGCTAGAGGGATGCCACAAGTAATGTTTGTTAACTATCCCGTTCCTTTATATGTGTCTGTCATCTTTTCTTGTTTAATCCTAGTTAACTGTCTATTTGTATCATTTGAGGATAACTAATTACTCACTACACTGTACTTGCAACTTGCAAGCAATTAGGCACATGAATTTGAATTTTTAATTCATTTCAAAATCCTATTATTGCCCTTATAAAAGCAAGATTTTTAAAGAACCTATAAAAAGTCAAATGGGATAAGGGGAAACATGAAAATTTGAGAGACTTTGGAAAAGAGGAACACCAAAAAGGTGTTCCCTTTTATGTAATAGTATAGATAGTAGAGATATTTAAAATTTGTATGTATGTATGTATATTATACTATTAAATAAAGGGAGAACAATAGTTTTTCTCCTTTTTCTGAGGCTTTGCCAATTTTTCGTCTTTCCATATAAACCCATTGTTTTTTTTTCTACAAATCATTTAACATCCTTATTTCTGTAAGGGATATACAATGAAGTGGGATAAAATTAACTAAGTCTTGGTGCTCGGCCCAAAGCCGAACTCGCACCAGTAGGGAGCTAAGGGCTCGGCCCAGTAACCAAACACTTGCTCTCGATCAAGGCAATCGAGGTAGCTCGGCCCAATGCAAAACGGACCAAACAACATGTTGGACAACCACTCCAAAGTGGGCCGAGCAACGTGGTGGACCTCTTGGTTGGACAAACAACTACTCCAAAGTGGGCCAAGCAACATATTGGACCTCCTAGTTGGACAACCACTCTGGAGAAGACTAACTTAATGACGGATGATTCACTGAAGATCTTTCTTAGGTTCACAAGAGACAAACAACTCTGCTCCTCTCCGTTTGTCTGAACTGAACGTGGAGACATGGAGGTACAGAGGGACGAAACGCACACATGACAGACCTGCATCTGAGTGTCAGGCAGAGTGGTCGTCCTTCTCCAATGAGAGACGATCACTAATAAGACAAATAAGACAGACTTGCACCCCAGTGTCAGGTGAAGTGGCCGTCCTCCTCTAATGGGAGACGACCACGAATAAGACAGATCGGACAAATGGTGGAGAGAGGTCTTGGAGGACAAGCAACCTTCTCTTATAAAAGGTGAGCATTATTCATTCTCAAGGGATCCGAAATCCACACACTTAACATATATACACTCTTGGTATTCTCTTTTATTCTTTTCCCTGAGTCCCTAACTTTACCATCGGAGGGGTTTCTGACCAAACCCTAGTCAGGCAGCCTCACTGTTTGTTACTCTATGCAGATTTTCAATTCCTAGAGCACGCTGTTCATCCACGAAGTTCAACCCTTCTTCACAGTGCAAAAATCACCCTCGCACAATTGGCGCCGTCTGTGGGAAAAGCATTGCTTGCTTCGTGACGAACTCCGGCGATGGGAATTGAAGATACACCCCATTATGGGCTAGCAAAGAGGACTCTAATGACGGAGAGAACCAAAGATAAGGGTTTGGCATTCCCTTCAACGCGCGATGACCCTATGGGCCACGATGATCAGGCACCTAACGCAGCAGAGTGACATCCTGTCGTTGCCGTCGAGTCGTCTCAGCTTCTTTTTGTTGAGAGAGACCACCATGGTCACATTATCGACTCAATGGGTTTGGAGATCACTGAGCTTCACACCCAATTGATGAAGTTTATGATGACCCCCACGGAGTTGAGAAAGTCCGTTGGAGGACCGTCGCAAAGGAGACATACTTCTCCGTCGCCTCACAAAGAGCACTCCAGCTGTGGCCCTGCTCGTAGAGAGCGTAGCCAGCCAATTCCGGTACGTAGTGAAGGGGCCAGCAGTAGGGCGAATAACCTCGAAAAAAATAACCCATGAGAGAATTCTTATAAAAGGCAAATGACTGTCAGAAGCATATCTGAAACCTTTCATAGCCGCCGCGACGAGCAACCGCACAATTTGAGAAGTTGGCTAAACGATAACAGAGAAGAGGCACGACAACTACGTAGGGGAGAAGAACGTCGACGAGATAGGAAGGAGCAACACCGGTTTGATAGGGAAAGGGACCAGTTGGATCGGTCCATACACCAACAAGAGTGTTGCGCTCTAGACCGGTTGTTGTCCACCCTTTTCTCCCCAGAGATAGAAGCTGTAGAACCTCCACGGAAGTATAGCCCGCCAAAATTCATTCTCTATGATGGGAAGATGGACCCTCTGACCCACATTAGCCATTACCGTCAGATGATGTCCTTCAGGAACCACAACGACGCGCTCATGTGCTAAGTCTTCCCTTTTAGCCTTGGAGAACTTGGCCTCCGATGGTTTGACAAACTCCCCAGTGGTTTGATTTATGACTGGACGCAGCTCTCTGAGGCGTTCTTAGCCTGATTTGTCTCCAATAGCAGAGTTCCAGAGCAGTTGGATACCTTGTTCAATATCCGAAAGGACAGGAAAGAGATCCTACGCCAGTACGCACGATGATATTGGGAGGAATATGGCGACTTGGAGGAAAATGTTTGCAGTGAACAATTGGCCGTGCTATACTTCAAGCAAGGCCTACCTCTTTCGCACAAGCTAAGGCAGTTGTTAACGAAACGACCTGCCCCCACCATGAAGGATTTGAGGCCCCGAATAAAGCAACAAGCTCGTGTGGAAGATGACGCTGCTTCAGTACATGTTGCGATTGCTGAAGAAGAAGTCATACCGCCCCGACCACCTAGGACTGAGCAGCCAAGGCCAAAGAGGGATGAGCAGCGCAAGAACTATGGCTAAAAGAACCGCACTACAGTGGAAAACGAAGAGGAAAGGGCCAAGTCTTATGAAGGCATCACTATCTTCTTCAAAGAGCCAATATACAGGCTCATCGAGAAACTTAAAGGGGAAGCCTTCTTTGTTTGGCCCGCTAAGATGCCTGGAGACCCTTCTCGACGCAATTAGACACTGTGTTGCACCTATTATTGAGAGAAGGGACACAAGACGCAAAATTGCAGAGCTCTCAAACAACATTTGGAGGACTTAGTTACGGCGGGACACCTCCAACAATGGATAGACGTTGATAAGACGAGGGAAAAGTAAGGACAAGACTAAGCCCCTCCTGAAGAGAACCATGCCTCGAGGTTAGTCATCAACGTTATCCATGGAATGACCAACCCCGAAAGGAAAAACACCCTTTGAGGAGAAATCCAACGAGCCACCCACCTTCAACAGGTAATGTTGGTAGGACCTTATCTCAAAAAGTCCAAGACAGAAGCCAGACCTTCTCGGTTTAATGTCGTGTTCACTGAGAAGGACCTAGAGAGAATCCAACACCCCCACACCGATGCCCTCATCGTTACAGTTGGTGTGGCCAACAAGTTCGATGTGAAGCGAGTCTTGATTGACCCAGGAAGCGCCACAGACATCATGTATTATGAGCTTTTCAAGAAGCTTGGTCTTTGTAAGCAACACCTGCCATCTACCACCTGCCACCTCCTCTTTAATTGGCTTCAACTCGCAAACAAAATGGCCGCTCGGCCGAATAACTCTGTCTGTCATAGCTAAGTCCAAGGTGGTCTCTGTTGACTTCTTGGTGGTAAACACCCCATCTCCCTACAATGCCATCCTTGGCCGACCTTGGATTCACCAGATGGAGGCAGTCCCTTCCACCGATCACCAACTCGTTCGCTTTCCAACCAAGTATGGAGTAGAGGAGATTCACGGAGACCAAGTGGCGGACAAACACTACTTCATTGCCGCCATGAAAACCAAACAAGTCTGTGACCAAGTGCAAATGGTGGAAGTACCTGACTAGAAGAAGGAAACCCCGACAAGTTCTTCCTACTCGACACTTCCCTCACTGTTGGAAAGAAAGAGCAATTATTGGCTCTACTCAGTAAAAACATTGAAGTGTTCGCCTGGTCAGCCTATGACACTCCTGGGTTGGACCCTAATTATGTTTGTCATCGACTCAACGTCCAATTAGGAGCACGACCGGTTGTTCAGAAGAGTAGACGGTCATCCGCACAACACACCGATGCAGTGATCGAAGAGGTGGACAAACTTTTAGTTGCTGGAGTCATTCGAGAAGTGCAGTACCCAAAGTGGCTGTCCAACACCGTCGTGGTGAAGAAGAAAAATAGCAAGTGGAGAGTCTGCATTGATTTCACTAGCCTTGACAAAGCTTGCCCTAAGGATAGTTTCCCCCTTCCACCAATAGATTAGTTTGCTGATGCAACGGCTGGACATGAGCGCATGAGCTTTCTAGACGTCTACAGTGGCTACCATCAGATCCCCATGTTCGGCCCTGACCAGGAGAAAACGGCTTTCATTATCCCTAGAGGCACTTACTGTTACAAAGTGATGCCTTTCGGCTTGAAGAACGCTAGTGTGACCTACCATCGAATGGTCACCAAAATGTTCAAGGACCAACTCGGTAAAACCATGGAAACATACATTGATGACATGGTCATCAAAAGCAAGTTGGTCGAGCACCATCTAAGGGACCTTGAGCAAGTGTTTGAAATTCTGAAGACTCACAAGCTTCGACTGAATGCCTCAAAATGTGCCTTTGGAGTAGGATCAAGGAAGTTCTTGGGGTACATGGTGACTAGGCGGGGCATCGAAGCCAACCTCGACCAAATCAAAGCCCCCAAAGACCTCGAAGTGCCTACAAAGGCTAAGGAATTCCAGAAACTTGCTGGCATGGCTGCAGCACTTAATTGTTTCATCAGTCGGTCCTCTGATCGGATGAAACCCTTCTTCCAACGTCTAAGGAAGAAAGCTAACTTTGAATGGGGGAGCCAATGCTCTGAAGCACTGGAAGATTTGAAGAAGTATCTATCCTCACCTCCCTTTCTATCCACCCTGTCGCCAATGAAGAGCTCTTCCTTTG